GTTGCACGTAGAATCGTGGACATAAAGTGTCTGTATCTAGTGACCAGAACGGTGTTTCACGTAGAATCGTGGACATAAAGTGTCTGTATCTAGTGACCAGAACGGTGTTTCACGTAGAATCGTGGACATAAAGTGTCTGTATCTAGTGACCAGAACGGTGTTTCACGTAGAATCGTGGACCAAAGTGTCTGTATCTAGACACCAGAACGGGTTTCACGTAGAATCGTGGACATAAAGTGTCTGTATCTAGTGACCAGAACGGTGTTTCACGTAGAATCGTGGACATAAAGTGTCTGTATCTAGTGACCAGAACGGTGTTTCACGTAGAATCGTGGACATAAAGTGTCTGTTCTAGTGACCAGAACGGTGTTGCACGTAGAATCGTGGACAGAAACATCACATGTACCAACCATGCTTTAGACCACTGTTTCCCACACTTTTCTTAGTCGAGGCGCCTTTTTGTTTTCAATTACAATTTTTCCACGGCGCTCTAACCTAAGTAAAATTATAAAAATTCCTATGTAAGAGATAACAAAAAAAAACACAAAAATTTTGAAACTCGTGTATCTCTGCGGAAAGGTCGCAGCTCCCCGGGACACAGCGGCGCACAGTTTGGGAATATCAGCTGTTGACATCATTGAACCTAGTAAGATGTACTTCAACAAGACTGGAGAGCTGCTTGACGCCAGTAAAACTTGCCTAACATTCCACTTGTGTAGTCTCTGACTAAAATGTTCATCTACCCAACAGTGTGTCCATGATGTGTATCTTGACATAGCCACACATAGGCGCCAGAACCTGCAGTCTCAGGCACCTCGAAGGCCCCCCTTCTCCCCCACACCCCCATATTTTACACATACACACATACACGCATACAGACACACACATATACACACAAAAAAAAACGCACATAGACACACACCAAAAAACACACAAACACAGACACACACACACACAGAGAGACACGCACACAGACACATACACAGGCATACACCCACAGACACACACACACACACGCGTGTGAACACCATACAGACTCACATACAGACACACTCACAGACACACACACACACAGAGACACAAACACAGACACATACACAGGCACACACACAAACACGCTCACACACACACAGAGAGACACAAATACATACACACAAACTTATCAAATTACCCATACATACACTCATACGTACATAGAATCATACACAAATACACCTTCACATACATACATGTCACACATATATGCATACATTCATATCATACACACTTGATTTAATAATAAACTGGTAATGCAATATGGATTATTAACTACATTTAAGGTGGCATATAATCACAAGAAATCATTAAATCTGGTAATCTAGTAATCTTAGTTTTAGCTGCATAGCAAATGGGTCACCCCGTAGTTGTTCCGCTCCTGTGCCAACGAAGAACACACAGAATGTTTATCACAGTCCCTTGTGGAAAGACTGACAAACTGCTGTCTCCGCAAATCTAGCATACACTCGCATTAAAAGCATATGGTAGCCATCCGAAGTGCTAACACAAACAGTCCGACATTAGAAATGCAGTTCATCATGGATGGTAGCAGAAGTCACCAACAGATCAGCAGTTGCACATGCGATCAATGTCATTGAAATGAAAGAGTTTGCGGTTAAATGAGTATGTCCGTATGTCCATGTGTGTCTAACAGTCCCCATGTCCGTGTGTGTCCAACAGTCCCCATGTCCAGGTGTGTCCAACAGTCCGTATGTCCATGTGTGTCCAACAGTCCCCATGTCCATGTGTGTCCAACAGTCCCCATGTCCATGTGTGTCCAACAGTCCCCATGTCCATGTGTGTCCAACAGTCCCCATGTCCATGTATGTCTAACAGTCCCCATGTCCATGTGTGTCTAACAGTCCCCATGTCCATGTGTGTCTAACAGTCCCCATGTCCATGTGTGTCCAACAGTCCCCATGTCCATGTGTGTCCAACAGTCCCCATGTTCAGGTGTGTCTAACAGTCCCCATGTCCAGGTGTGTCTAACAGTCCTCATGTCCAGGTGTGTCCAACAGTCCCCATGTCCAGGTGTGTCTAACAGTCCCCATGTCCAGGTGTGTCTAACAGTCCCCATGTCCACGTGTGTCCAACAGTCCCCATGTCCATGTGTGTCTAACAGTCCTCATGTCCAGGTGTGTCCAACAGTCCTCATGTCCAGGTGTGTCCAACAGTCCCCATGTCCATGTGTGTCCAACAGTCCCCATGTCCAGGTGTGTCTAACAGTCCCCATGTCCAGGTGTGTCTAACAGTCCCCATGTCCATGTGTGTCCAGCAGTCCCCATGTCCATGTGTGTCCAACAGTCCCCATGTCCATGTGTGTCCAAAAGTCCCCATGTCCATGTGTGTCCAAAAGTCCCTATGTCCATGTGTGTCTAAAAGTCCCCATGTCCATGTGTTTCCAACGGTCCGTGTGTCCATGTATGTCAATGACTTCATCAAAAATATTCTCTTGCAGAGATCTCAGTGACAACAGGCTGACCAGCGTGCCAGCGAATATTTTCTTCTTCATGAGGAGTCTCCGGTATCTGTAAGTACATCATTCGTTGATGTTGACATCAAGTATCTATAAGTACATCATTTGTTGTTGACATCAAGTATCTGTAAGTACATCATTTGTTGATGTTGACATCAAGTATCTGTAAGTACATCATTTATTTATGTTGACATCAAGTAAGTACATCATTTATTTATGTTGACATCAAGTATCTGTATGTACATCATTTATTTCTGTTGACATCAAGAATCTGTAAGTACATCATTTATTGATGTTGACATCAAGTATCTGTAAGTACATCATTTGTTGATGTTGACATCATGTATCTGTAAGTACATCATTTGTTGATGTTGACATCAAGTATCTGTAAGTACATCATTTGTTGATGTTGATATCAAGTATCTGTAAGTGCATCATTTATTGATGTTGACATCAAGTATCTGTAAGTACATCATTTACTGATATTGACATCATGTATCTGTAAGTACATTATTTATTGATGTTGACATCAAGTATCTGTAAGTACAAACGTGTTTTACTGTTGACATTGACATCAAGTATTTGTAAGTACAAACGTCTGTTGCTGTTGACATCACATCATTTGTTGATGTTGAAATCAAGTATCTGTAAGTACATCATTTATTGATGTTGACATCAAGTATTTGTAAGTACATCATTTATTGATGTTGACATCAAGTATCTGTAAGTACATCATTAATTGATGTTGACATCAAGTATCTGTAAGTACATCATTTATTTATGTTGACATCAAGTATTTGTAAGTACATCATTTATTTCTGTTGACATCAAGTATTTGTAAGTACAAATGTGTGTTGCTGTTGACATCAAGTATCCATAGGTACACTGTATATTGATGTTTACATCAAGTATCTATGAATACACAGATTATTGATGTTGACAGAAGTGTATGGTATATTGCTCCTGACAACAAATATCTATAAGTACTTCGCATTCTGATGTTGACATTAGGTATCTGAGTTTAAATCTTATATAGAAATGTTGACATCACATATCTGTGTTAATATCTAATGTGATAATGTTGACATCGCATATCGGTGTTTTATATATAATGCAACAATGTTCGCATTAAGCATCTGTGGCTCATGTATGATGTAGCAATGTTGACATCAACTATCTGTGTTTATATGTGATGTGACAATGTTGACATCAACTATCTGTGTTTATATATGATGTGACAATGTTGACATCAACTATCTTTGTTTATATATGATGTGACAAAGTTTACATCAACTATCTGTGTTTATATGTGATGTGACAATGTTAACATCAACTATCTTTGTTTATATATGATGTGACAATGTTGACATCAACTATCTGTGTTTATATGTGATGTGACAATGTTGACATCAACTATCTTTGTTTATATATGATGTGACAATGTTGACATCAACTATCTGTGTTTATATGTGATGTGACAATGTTGACATCAACTATCTTTGTTTATATATGATGTGACAATGTTGACATCAACTATCTTTGTTTATATATGATGTGACAATGTTGAAATCAAGTACTGGTATTTATATATAATATAACTGTGTTGGCATCTGATGTCTGTGTTTGTACATATAGTGTAAAATGTTGACATTAATTATCTGTTTGTACATACAGTGTAAAATGTTGACATTAATTTATTTGTGTGTACCTATAGTGTAGAATGTTGACATTAATTATCTTTTCGTACATATAGTGTAAAATGTTGACATTAATTATTTGTTTGTACATACAGTGTAAAATGTTGACATTAAATATGTTTTTGTACACACAGTGTAAGATGTTGACATTAATTTATTTGTTTGTACATATAGTGTAAAATGTTGACATTAATTATCTGTTTGTACATAAAGTGTAAAATGTTGACATTAATTATCCGTTTGTACATACAGTGTAAAATGTTGACATTAATTATCTGTTTGTACATATAGTGTAAAATGTTGACATTAATTATCTGTTTGTACACAGTGTGAAAAATGTTTTTCTTTACAGGAATCTGGCCAACAATTCTTTGAGAGAAATCAGGAACCACTCGCTGGCCGGTCTCAGGAACCTAACTCAGCTGTGAGTTCTTGTCTTTGTTGCTACTGCTTATAGGGAGTTTCCAGTCAAATTATAAGTTGTCTTTGTATTAATAGAGAAACCACTGGCCTACATGCATCTGAGGAAAACTGAGGTAATATTGCAGGAATGTCGGTCTTTGAAGTTAACATTGGACCCAGCTATTTATCATGAAATTCGTGGGATTTAGACCCAGCTGTTGATCGTGAGATTCGTGTGACCTGGAATCTTCTGTATAAAATTTCATGTGTATCAACAGAATATTTAAAACCCGGGGAACGGTGGTGCGGTTGAGGAAGGGAGAGGGGAACGTGCAGAGGGAAAGTTGTTGTTGTTGTTGTTATAGATCCAGCGGCGCATGAGCTTTCGCCCTATGGTCCAGTGCCATGTAGTGGAATTTGCATGTTTTCACAAGTTGTTCTTTTCCTCCGTACAAGGTGTTCCACTTGTCTGGTCTCGGAGGGAGTAGCATTCTTCTAGTCTCGCTGAGTTTTGGGCACTCAAAGAGATGGTGTTCAACAGTTTCGTAGGGGTAGTTACATAGCTGGCACTCTGGGGAGTGTTGTGGCTGTATTCTGTTTAGATGTCCATTGAGTGGAGTAGGTTGCGTTCTAAGTCTGAAGATGGTGGCCTGGTCCCTTCTTGTTAGATGGTTAATGCTGTCATTAGGATCAGGGCCAGCCATGTGCAGAGGGGAAGTCGGGGGGTAAACGACCCGTCAAAAGCGTGAAAGTTACTAAGGAGTTTCAAAATATGATATAAACTCGTGGTTCCCTCTAATGTTTCTACAGATCTATTTGTATATTTGTTAGCCATTCGGCACACTATTATTATTGTCACCATTGTCTTTATTTTCTTTTTTTTTTTTTATATGCTTCTTATTATTTTAACGCACTTGAAAAACGCTGAGGCGTTTTTGATCGCCCACACTAGACAATTTGCAAAGAGGTTAAGCCAGTCCACTCACTAGTGCACACATGCACTCTTTGATTTAGGTGGCCCTTTAGGCATTGTGTACTTTTTGTTACAAGTACTGGTCGTCGGTTGCGGCGTCCGTGGCTAAGGCGTTGCGAGTCTGACTCGTAATCCAACGTACCGCGATCGAAACCTACGTGGGCTGCGTGGATTTTTTCGTGGTATGGGACGTCGCAGGTCGACCCAGCCTCAAATGGGTACCAGGATGGGCTGTCCTGGGAAAGTAAAGACGGCTGGCGTAATGCTGACCACATTACCTACCGAGTGCCGATTGGTCTGTAAAAATATGGGTGCTCTTCCCATATGCCCGATGCGCCTAAGGGGGTGTAAAGGGATCTTTACTTTACTTACTGGTCGTCGGCGAATAGTAATTTTGTAATATCTTCTTCTTGATTAAATCTCGTTTCCTTACATGTGGTATCCATGTATGTTATAAAAAGAAGTGGCGATAGTACATAGCTCTGACACACACAAGAGTTCAGTATAAAACTTTGTGACAATCCTGCCTTCGATCTTTTGCAGCTTTTACTACGTGTGTACAGGCTTTTGCAAATATTAATGAGATGATTGCTGATTTCCTTTTCACCCATGCATTGCCACTACAAGTTCCTGTCAACTCTATCGAAGGCTTTTTCTTGGTCTATAAATGTCAACAAACATGTCTTGCCGTGTTCTATTGCGCTCTCTCTGATAGTTGTCTTAATGTATAAATTACACCTGTGCACCTTCTATTTCATCGAAAGCCCATCTGTTCTTCTGTAAGTTGATACTCTATCAACGGTCTTAGCCTTTTTTCGATTATCTTAGCAGACATTTTCCCAGTGTGACTGAGAAGTGATATTCCTCTGAAATTAGTACATTCACTCTTACAACTTTTTTTTTTTTTTTCATAGCGGGACGATGACAGCAGTTTGCCAATTTGACAATCTTTCTTGATTGTCCCATGCCACCTGAAATATTCTCTATAACCATATTGCTCCTACTTCTTCTACGCCTTGATGGCCTCAGTTGGTAGATCATCAATACTTGTCGTCTTTAGTCTAGCGGCGGTATAAATGACATATTCTACTTCATCTAATAATATACCTGGTTCTAGTTCCTCTGCCATTAGTTCCTAGTTGTTTTTATGTTCTTCCATGCTTTCATCTGTTTTTTTTTTTTTGCAGCTAAGTAATAATTCAATGTAATTACTCCACCTTGCTAAAGTTTTGGTAGGCTCTATTAAAGGTTGGCCATCTTCGTCATTTATAATTTCTGTTGGGTTGTATTCTTCATTCCTGTTTCTCATGCCTTTGATATTTTTTGGTAGTAGTTTTTCACTGTTGTTCTTTCTTCTTCAGCCAGCTTGCTGCCAAACCTTTCCCATGTATTTTGTGTGTGCTTGTCTGATAGTTATATTTACTTTTCTTCTAATTATCCTGCATGTTATGTAAGCGTCTTCTGTTCTGCTCCTCAGCCAAATGCTATAAGCTTTCTTGTTATTGCTCACAATTCTTCCTATTTCTTCAGACCACAATGTTGAGAGCTTACGTCCTATGTTACCTTTCCTTTTAGTTCCACATATTTCTTGTGCTATTTTCATAGTGGTGTCTCTGAAATTTAACCATTCTGTATTTACCCCAAGTGTGTTTTGTGGGAGCTGTTTAAAATTTTCCTGTAATTTTTTGCTGAAATGCTCGCCTATTTTCCTCACACTCTAGTTCTTTCCATTTTATTATTTCACTTTTATGACATTTCTTTCTTTTTTGATAACTTATCTAGACCTTCTGTCAAGTATCAACATCCTGTGATCTGTTTCTAAATTCAAGTTTGGTATAACTTACGAATCTGTAACTTCATGAAAGTCTCTTTATCTCGTCAAGATGTAATCACTCTGACTCTTAGTATCTGGATCATTCCATTGATACCATGTAAAAACTTGTGAAGCTCTATGTTGAAAGAAGGTGTTGGTAATAACAAGATCATGTTGTGTACATATCTAACAGTCTTTCGCCATTTTCATTTCTAATGCTGTTGTCTCCATAATTGCCTAGGCTACCTGAAACTAACGCTAACAGTCTGTGTCCCATGTTGCAGGTATTTGTCTGGGAACCACATCAGCCAGATCCAGCCTGGGTCCTTTCTGGACCTGGGTCAGCTGACCATACTGTGAGATTATGTGTGTGTGTTTGTGTGTGTGTTTGTGTGTGTGTATGTGTTTGTGTGTGTATGTGTTTGTGTGTGTGTGTTTGTGCGTGTATGTGTGTCTGTGGGTCCATGCGCGTAACCGTATATGTTTATGTGGCGGTGTATGTAGCCTTATCTTTGTAAAAGTATTTGAAGATGTATGTAACGTTGTGTGCGTGTGTGTCGATGTGTGAAAGCTTATCTGTGTGTGTGCATATGTGAATGTGTGTAAGCGTTTCTCTGAGTGTGTCAAATGTTATCTTATCTGTCTGTGTGTGGATGTGTCTAACCACATATGTGTGTATTAATGTATGTAACCTTATCTTGTATCTGTGTGTGCGCGCACGCGCATGTCTGTGTTTGTCTTTAAGATGTGTGTGTATGAAATATTAACTGACACCTGTGGCTCTTGTGTGTGTGTGCGCGCGTGTGTGTGCGCGTGTCTGTGTGTCTCTTGTGTGTGTGTGTGTGTGTGCGCGCGTGTCTGTGTGTCTCTTGTGTGTGTGCGTGTGTGTGTGTGAAATACTGACACCTGTGTCTCTTGTGTGTGTGCGCGTGCGCGTGTGTGCGTGTGTGTGTGCGTGTGTGTTCGCTTGTCTGTGTGTCTCTTGCATGGCCTGGGAGTCTCCGTGGCAAAGTGATCTAGCCATTTGCCTCGCCCACTGAATGTCATGGGTTCGTTTCAAGGCGAAACAGGCAGCTAGCTTTTCTGCAGAGAGAAACCGATCGACATGGGACACAACCTGGTGCCATCAAGTTGATCCTGTGTCCTTCACATTCACTTTTATCTTGCCTGATATATAGAGCAAGATCTGTGTTATGTAACGTGGAAGATTGACTGTCAACACTGTTACGATGTGAGAGATTGACTGTCAACACTGTTACAATGTGGAAGATTGACTGTCAACACTGTCACAATGTGGAAGATTGACTGTCAACACTGTTACAATGTGAAAGATTGACTGTCAACACTGTTACAATGTGGAAGATTGACTGTCAACACTGTTACATTGTGAAAGATTGACTGTCAACACTGTTACAATGTGAAAGATTGACTGTCAACACTGTTACAATGTGAAAGATTGACTGTCAACACTGTTACAATGTGGAAGATTGACTGTCAACACTGTTACAATGTGGAAGATTGACTGTCAACACTGTCACAATGTGGAAGATTGACTGTCAACACTGTTACAATGTGAAAGATTGACTGTCAACACTGTTACAATGTGAAAGATTGACTGTCAACACTGTTACAATGTGAAAGATTGACTGTCAACACTGTTACAATGTGAAAGATTGACTGTCAACACTGTTACAATGTGAAAGATTGACTGTCAACACTGTTACAATGTGAAAGATTGACTGTCAACACTGTTACAATGTGAAAGATTGACTGTCAACACTGTTACAATGTGAAAGATTGACTGTCAACACTGTTACAATGTGGAAGATTGACTGTCAACACTGTTACAATGTGAAAGATTGACTCTCAACACTGTTACAATGTGGAAGATTGACTGTCAACACTGTTACAATGTGGAAGATTGACTGTCAACACTGTCACAATGTGGAAGATTGACTGTCAACACTGTTACAATGCGAAAGATTGACTGTCAATACTGTTACAATGTAAAAGATTGACTGTCAACACTGTTACAATGTGAAAGATTGACTGTCAACACTGTTACAATGTGAAAGATTGACTGTCAACACTGTTACAATGTGAAAGATTGACTGTCAACACTGTTACAATGTGAAAGATTGACTGTCAACACTGTTAAAATGTGAAAGATTTACTGTCAACACTGTTACAATGTGGAAGATTAACTGTCATCACTGTTACAATGATGCTTAAATGTTGCAGAGATCTGAGCTGTCAGAACCTGACTAGACTGGACGCAAACACGTTTCTGGGACTTCATAACCTACACCTGTTGTAAGTTGAGATTTGTTGCATATTGTTTGACATACGTTTATTTTATGTTGTCTGTCATACATTTGTTGCATGTTGTCTGTCATACGTTTGTTTAATGTTGCCTGTTATACTTTTGTTGTATGTTGTCTGTCATACGTTTGTTGTATGTTGTCTTTCATACGTTTGTTTAATGTTGTCTGCTATACTTTTGTTGTATGCTGTTTGTCATACGTTTGTTGTATGTTGTCTGTCATATATTTGTTTTATGTTGTCTGTCATACATTTTGTATGTTGTCTGTCATTCATTTTTTGTATGCTGTCTGTCATTGGGGTTTTTGTATGTGATGTGTATCAGTTATACATTGATATACAAGTAGAAGGTAAAATACTTCAGCTGGATGAGTAGCTTCAGTGGCATGAAACTAGCAGTCAGGGAAAGCTGGGTCCCCAGAATCAGATGTAGCGATAAATAGTGGACACAGGACATGCAAGGACTCAAAGAATCAAATTGCACTGGATGTGTGGAGCACATGTCACTAGATGTATGGGATATATATATATATACCACTGGATGTTTAGGATATATATACCACTGGATATGGGGGATATATACCACTGTATGTGTGAGATGTATATACCACTGTATGTGGGGTGTATATATATATATATATATATATATATATATATATATATATATATATATATATATATATATATATATATATATATATATATATATATAGATATATAACACTGAATGTGCAGGATATATATACACACTGTGGGATGTGTGGGATATATATATATATATATATATATATATATATATATATATATATATATATATATATATATATATATATATATATATATATATATACCACTGGATGTGGAGATATTTAAACCACTGTATGTAGGGGATATATATATATATATATATATATATATATATATATATATATATATATATATATATATATATATATATATATATATATATATATATATATATACATATATATACCACTGGATGTGTGGGATATATATTTACCACTGTATGTGTGGGATATATACTTACCACTGTATGTGTGGGATATATCTACCACTGTTTGTGTGGGATATATATACCACTGTATGTGGGGGATATATAAAAAAATATGTGGGGATATATATATATATATATATATATATATATATATATATATATATATATATATATATATATATATATATATACACTGGATGTGTGGGATATATATATACCACTGTATGTTGGATATATATAACTCTGTATGTGGGGGATATATATACCACTGTATGTTGGATATATATACCTCTGTATGTGGGGGATATATATAACACTGTTTGTGGGGGATATAAATACCACTGGATGTGGACGAATATATATACCACTGTGTGTGGGGGATATATATACCACTTTATGTGTGGGATATATATACCACTGTATGTGTGGGGATATATATACCACTGTATGTGTGGGGATATATATACCACTGGATGTGTGGGATATATATACCACTGTATGTGTGGGGATATATATACCTCTGTATGTGTGGGGATATATATACCTCTGTATGTTTGGGATATATACTGGTTGTCTCAAGCATATAACACTGGATATCTCAAACATATAACACTGGATATCTCAAACATATAACACTGGATATCTTAAACATATAACACTGGATATCTCAAACATATAACACTGGATATCTCAAACATATAACACTGGATATCTCAAACATATAACACTGGATATCTCAAACATATAACACTGGATATCTCAAACATATAACACTGGATATCTCAAACATATAACACTGGATATCTCAAACATATAACACTGAATATCTCAAACATATAACACTGAATATCTCAAACATATAACACTGGATACCTCAAACATATAAAACTGGATATCTCAAACATATAACACTGGATATCTCAAACATATAACACTGGATATCTCAAGCAAATAACACTGGATATCTCAAGCATATAACAATGGATATCTCAAACATATAACGCTTTATGTTTCAAGTATAAAACACTGGCTTCACTGATCCCGAAATGTTTTCAAATATTTCAGAAATCTGTCTGGTAACAAACTGGAGGTGCTCTCTGATGGGGCTTTCAGGGGACTGGAGAGATTGACCACTCTGTAAGTGAGCCCAAGGATATACTACAGACATGGGACAAACAGACGAATAGACGGTGGACAATTAACAAATCTGAAAAGTGCTAGAAATTTATGATAGCGGTGTAAAATGTCTGCGGTAGGTGAATGTATCATCCCTTTGTGAATGACTAGAATTTTTACTGATTATCTACATCTATGGCTACATGGTCAGCAATTAGAACATGCAGCCGGTGGTCATTTGTATATTCAACCTTCTTGGTAGCGAGCTGGCTGTGTGGTCAACCATCCGTGTAGTCAACAATCTATGTGATCAACCTTTTGATGGAGAGCTGGAGGTCATCTGTGGGGTCAACCGTCTGTGTGTTCAACCATCTGTGTATTCAACATTCTTGGTAGATAAGTGGTGGCTATCTGTGTATTCAACATTCTTGGTAGAGAGATGCTGGCTATCTGGGTGTTCAACATTCTTGGTAGAGAGATGGTGGCTATATGTGTGTTCAACAATCTGTGTATTCAACATTCTTGGTAGAGAGATGGTGGCTGTCTGTGTGTTCAAAATTCTTGGTAAAAAGCAGGAGATCATTTGTGTGGTCAACCTTCTTGGTAGAGAGATGCTGGCTATCTGGGTGTTCAACATTCTTGGTAGAGAGATGCTGGCTATCTGGGTGTTCAACATTCTTGGTAGAGAGATGGTGGCTATATGTGTGTTCAACAATCTGTGTATTCAACATTCTTGGTAAAGAGATGGTGGCTGTCTGTGTGTTCAAAATTCTTGGTAAAAAGCAGATCATTTGTGTGGTCAACCTTCTTGGTAGAGAGTTAGTGGTCATCTGTGTGGTCAACCTTCTTGGTAGAGAGTTTGTGGTCATCTGTGTGGTCAACCTTCTTGGTAGAGAGTTTGTGGTCATCTGTGTGGTCAACCTTCTTGGTAGAGAGTTAGTGGTCATCTGTGTGGTCAACCTTCATGGTAGAGAGTTAGTGGTCATCTGTGTGGTCAACCTTCTTGGTAGAGAGTTAGTGGTCATCTGTGGGGTCAGCCTACTTAGTAGAGAGCTGCGGGTCATCTTTGTGATCAACTTTCTTGGTAGAGAGCTGGTGGTCAACTGTATAGTCAATCTTTCTGGTAGAGAGCTGGAGGTCATCTGTGTGTTCAAACTTGTTGGTGGAGAGCTAGGGGTCATCTGAGTGTTCAAACTTGTTGGTGGAGAGCTACGGGTCATCTGTGTGTTCAAACTTGTTGGTGGAAAGCTAGGGGTCATCTGTGTGTTCAAACTTGTTGGTGGAGAGCTAGGGATCATCTGTGTGTTCAAACTTGTTGGTGGAAAGCTAGGGGTCATCTGTGTGTTCAAACTTGTTGGTGGAAAGCTAGACGTCATCTGTGTGTTCAAATTTGTTGGTGGAGAGCTAGAGGTCATCTGTGTGTTCAAACTTGTTGGTGGAAAGCTAGGGGTCATCTGTGTGTTCAAACTTGTTGGTGGAGAGCTCGGGGTCATTTGTGTGTGTCAAACTTGTTGATGGAGAGTAGGGGTCATCTGTGTGTTCAAACTTAGTGGTGGAGAGCTAGGGGTCATCTGTGTGTTCAAACTTGTTGGTTGAGAGCTAGAGGTCATCTGTGTGTTCAAACTTGTTGGTGGAGAGCTAGGGGTCATCTGTGTGTTCAAACTTGTTGGTGGAGAGCTAGGGGTCATCTGTGTGTTCAAACCTGTTGGTGGAGAGCTATGTGTCATCTGTTTGTTCAAACTTGTTGGTGGAGAGCTAGGGGTCATCTGTGTGTGTCAAACTTGTTGATGGCAAGTAGGGGTCATCTGTGTGTTCAAACTTGTTGGTGGAGAGCTAGGGGTCATCTGTGTGTTCAAACTTGTTGGTGGAGAGCTAGGGGTCATCTGTTTGTTCAAACTTGTTGGTGCAGAGCTAGGGGTCATGTCTTCCATAAACTAAACAACCTGGCACATTACCAGTGGTAGGAAAAACATGACAAGACAGTTTAGATACTGACATGCCAGTGTGTTTAAGTGTGTGGTGTGTTTGTGTGTGTGTGTGTATGTGTGTGTGTGCACATAAAAAAACTGACATAATATGACAGTGTTCGTGTGTGTGTGTGTGTGTGTGTGTGTGTGTGTGTGTGTGTGTGTGTGCACTAAACAGTCGACATAACATGACATTGTGTGTATGTACACTAAACAGTTGACATCACATGACACTGTGTGTATGTACACTAAACAGTTATCACATGACACTGTGTGTATGTACACTAAATAGTTGATATCACATGACACTGTGTGTATGTACACTAAACAGTTATCACATGACACTGTGTATGTACACTAAATAGTTGATATCACATGACACTGTGTGTATGTACACTAAATAGTTGATATCACATGACACTGTGTGTATGTACACTAAACAGTTTATATCACATGACACTGTGTGTATGTACACTAAACAGTTGAAATCACATGACACTGTGTACACACACTATAGATCAATTCTGTCATGGCATCTACAGAGATTTATCAAACAACCGGATCAGAGACATCAGCAGACGTGTGTTCCACAGCATCCCCTCCATGTCACAGCTGTAAGTGTCTCCATGGAAACTGTGATGTCACTAGCTGTTGTATTTGCACTAAACTTGTGTCTCCATGGAAACCATGATGTCACTAGCTGTTGTATGTGCTCTAAACTTGTGTCTCCATGGAAACCATGATGTCACTAGCTGTTGTATGTGCTCTAAACTTGTGTCTCCATGGAAACCATGATGTCACTAGCTGTTGTATGTGCTCTAAACTTGTGTCTCCATGGAAACCATGATGTCACTAGCTGTTGTATGTGCTCTAAATTTGTGTCTCCATGGAAACCATGATGTCACTAGCTGCTGTATGTGCTCTAAACTTGTGTCTCCATGGAAACCATGATGTCACTAGCTGTTGTATTTGCACTAAACTGTGCCTGCGTGGAAACCATGATGTCACTAGTTGTATATGCTCTAAACTTGTGTCTCCATGGAAACCATGATGTCACTAGCTGTTGTATTTGCACTAAACTGTGCCTGGGTGAAAACCATGATATCACTAGTTGTTGTATATGCTCTAAACTTGTGTCTCCATGGAAACCATGATGTCACTAGCTGTTGTATGTGCTCTAAACTGTGTCACTAAAACCATGATGTCTTGTTGTATGTGCTCTAAACTTGTGTCTCCATGGAAACCATGATGTCACTAGCTGTTGTATGTGCTCTAAACTTGTGTCTCCATGGAAACCATGATGTCACTAGCAGTGTTGTATGTGCTTTGCTCTAAACTGTGTGCTGCGTGGTATTTGCTCTAAACTTGTGTCTCCATGGAAACCATGATGTCACTAGCTGTTGTATTTGCTCTAAACTGTGTCTGCGTGGAAACCATGATGTCACTAGCTGTTATATGTGCTCTAAACTTGTGGCTCCATAGAAACCATGATGTCACTAGCTGTTGTATTTGCACTAAACTGTGCCTGCGTGGAAACCATGATGTCACTAGTTGTTGTATATGCTTTAAACTTGTGTCTCCATGGAAACCATGATGTCACTAGCTGCTGTATGTGCTCTAAACTTGTGTCTCCATGGAAACCATGATGTCACTAGCTGCTGTATGTGCTCTAAACTTGTGTCTCCATGGAAACCATGATGTCACTAGCTGCTGTATGTGCTCTAAACTGTGTCTGCGTGGAAACCATGATGTCACTAGTTGTTATATATGCTCTCAACTTGTGTCTCCATGGAAACCATGATGTCACTAGCTGTTGTATGTGCTCTAAACTTGTGTTGTTGATATTGTATATGTTAAATAAATAGAGCAGACCAGGCCTTCAGCCTTGGTTGGCAGCTGGTCTAGGAGTTAGCTACAGCAGGTGAACAGACAGGACACCCCTCTTCCTATTTAGCATTATTTATAGCATAAAACTTACTGGTTTTATCATCTTGCTTGGGACTGAACAATTCAAGGACCAGAGAGGGATGTGAGGTTAGGACCAGAGAGGGATGTGAGGTTAGGACCAGAGAGGGATGTGAGGTTAGGACCAGAGAGGGATGTGAGGTTAGGACCAGAGAGAGATGTGAGGTTAGGACCAGAGAGGGATGTGAGGTTAGGACTAGAGAGGGATGTGAGGTTAGGACCAGAGAGGGATGTGAGGTTAGGACTAGAGGGGAATGTGAGGTTAGGACCAGAGAGGGATGAAACTTCATGTGTAAAACATTATCTCTACGATCATGTCCAGGCTTTGTGCTCTAGACAGAAAAAAAAAACTTAATTCCTGGCCTCAACTGATCTCAGAAACAAATCAAAGACAGCAGTTACGGGTTATAAGTCCTTGTCCATCGGTGTAGAAACATTGTATAACCAGTTTGATCAGTCATCTATATATATGTCCCCGTGACGTGATGTGTCTCTGACAGGATTACAGATGAGTACAGGTTCTGCTGTCTGGCCCCCTGGGTTAAAAGCTGCCTGCCAGAAGCCGACGAGTTCTCCTCCTGCGAGGATCTGATGTCCAACCACGTACTGAGAGTGTCCATCTGGATCCTGGGTCTGGTGGCTTTCTTTGGGAACATCGTGGTCATTGTCTGGCGGGCGCGAGATGTCCGCGGTAGAAAGGTAGTACAGACCAACCTATCATGAATTATCTTAACTGTACATGAACAGATACAAGCCACTAAGGTATCTGAGTTTTCCACACACATGTAGACACACTATTTTATCTGTGTTCTGAAGACACACGTAGAAACATACATTTATATCTGGGTTTTGTACACACACGGAGACATACACAATTATATCCGGACTTTGTACATACACGTAGACATACACAATTATATCCGGATTTTGTACATACACGTAGACATACACAATTATATCCGGATTTTGTACATACACGTAGACGTACACAATTATATCCGGACTTTGTACATACACGTAGACGTACACAATTATATCCGGACTTTGTACATACACGTAGTTTTATACACATTGTTTTATCATCCATATTATCCAAAGCAGTACCTTTGACTTCCATATCATTTAGAGTTGTAACTTTCATACGGTCCAGAGTAGTAGCCGTGACCTCCATTTAGTCCAAAGAAGTAACCGTGACCTCCATATCATTCACAGTAGTAATCTTGATCTCCTTTCAGCAGAGTACTAACTTTGACTTCGTCTAGAGTAGTATCTCTACTATATAAATCTATATTTATCCATCTATACTGTTGTTAAGAGAATGTGGGCTTTTGAGCTGAAATGCTATAGAAAGATTCTCAGAATATCCTGGACAAAGAAAAGGAGAAATATCGACATCTTTAAAGATCTGAACATCAAGGAAGAAGATTGGCTAATAAACAGCATCCTTTCTCGAAAGCTGAAATATTTTGGTCATATCTAGTGCCACGACGGATTGGAAAAAAATTATAACAGAAGGCATGGTACCAGGAATGAGGGGCAGGGGCCGACAGACACGAAGTTGGACACAGCATATAAGTGACTCCTTGAGTATGAAAGTGCATGAGGCTGGGGAACTGGCGAGAGACCGAGTTTCTTTCAGGCAGCTGAGATGAGAGCGACGTTCTGCAAAGGACCTGCTACATGATGATGATGATACTGTTGTATCTATATTTATTAATCTGTACTGTTATATCTATCTATCTATCTATCTATCTATCTATCTATCTATCTATCTATCTATCTATCTATCTATCTATCTATCTATCTATCTATCTATCTATCTATCTATCTATCTATCTATATATCTATCTATCTATCTATCTATCTATCTATCTATCTATCTATCTATCTATCTATCTATCTATCTATCTATCTATCTATCTATCTATCTATCTATCTATCTATCTATCTATCTATCTATCTATCTATCTATCTATCTATCTATCTATCTATCTATCTATCTATCTATCTATCTATCTATCTATCTATCTATCCGGATAATTATTCACTGTTATATTTAAATTTATCAATCTGCAACTGTTCTATCTATATTTATTAATCTGTACTGTTGCGATCGATCTATCTATCTATCTATCTATCTATCTATCTATCTATCTATCTATCTATCTATCTATCTATCTATCTATCTATCTATCTATCTATCTATCTATCTATCTATCTATCTATCTATCTATCTATCTATCTATCTATCTATCTATCTATCTATCTATCTATCTATCTATCTATCTATCTATCTATCTATCTATCTATCTATCTATCTATCTATCTATCTATCTATCTATCTATCTATCCTATATTTATCCATCTATCTATCTATCTATCTATCTATCTATCTATCTATCTATCTATCTATCTATCTATCTATCTATCTATCTATCTATCTATCTATCTATCTATCTATCTATCTATCTATCTATCTATCTATCTATCTATCTATCTATCTATCTATCTATCTATCTATCGATCTATCTATCTATCTATCTATCTATCTATCTATCTATCTATCTATCTATCTATCTATCTATCTATCTATCTATCTATCTATCTATCTATCTATCTATCTATCTATCTATCTATCTATCTATCTATCTATCTATCTATCTATCTATCTATCTATCTATCTATCTATCTATCTATCTATCTATCTATCTATCTATCTATCTATCTATCTATCTATCTCTCTATCTATCTATCTATCTATCTATCTATCTATCTATCTATCTATCTATCTATCTATCTATCTATCTATCTATCTATCTATCTATCTATCTATCTATCTATCTATCTATCTATCTATCTATCTATCTATCTATCTATCTATCTATCTATCTATCTATCTATCTATCTATCTATCTATCTATCTATCTATCTATCTATCTATCTATCTATCTATCTATCTATAATTATTCACTGTTATATCTAAATTTATCAATCTGCAACTGTTCTATCTATATTTATTAATCTGTACTGTTGCGAACGCGCTCTGTAATGCCGGAGTGCTGGGTTCGATATCAGCTACAGGCCTTACTCATTGCGAAGGTTTTGACAGTGGTATCGAGAAGCCGACCGTCCAGGAAGCAATGGCAAACTACTGGGTGTAAATTTGCCTAGAAAAACCACATAAAAAATTATGGGGTTGGTTCTGCAAAGTCCTGTAAAGGATACGCAACTAACTTAACTGGTGTATCTGAATTTAACAATATGTTCTGTTGTGTTTATTTTTATACATCTGCACTGTTGTAAGTAAATTTATTAATCTGTTGAGTTTACATTTGTCTGACTGTACCAGGTACACTCGTTTCTAATCACCAATCTGGCCATCGGCGACTTCCTCATGGGCGTCTACCTAATGGTCATCGCTGTGGTCGACTCCTACTATAGGGGTGTCTATATGCTGCACGACCAGGTGTGGCGGTCCAGTTACTTGTGTCGCTTCGCTGGCTTTATATCCACCTTCTCATCGGGTAAGGGTGTGTGTTTGTGTGTGTATACATGTGGAAGAGTGTGTGTGTGTGTCCGTGCCTTTTGTGATTGTGTGCACATGTATGAGTGTTTGGATGTGTGTGTGTGTGTGTGTGTGTGTGTGTGTTGCAAGACCAGGTGTAGTGAGGAAGTCACCTGTATCGGTTAGCTGACTTTATACTCATCAATTGTGTGTATACGCGTGTGTGGGTAAGTGTGTAGACATCTGAAGGCAATCTCGTCAGCACAAAACGTAATCATTTCAAAAACTTTCACTCAAATAACAATAGATGCAGTATCACACAGAATGTCCCAATATCACACAGTATCACTCAGTATCTAAGTGTCCCAGAATATCTCATAATAAAATACAGTATCACACAATGTCTAACAATATAACACAGTATTACACAATTTCTCACAACACCATACAATTTTAACAATATCAAACAATATCAAACAATATCATACAATATTAACAATAGCACACAATATTTAATAACAGAACACACTATCTAACACTATCAAACAATATCTTACACTATTACACAATATCTTACACTATTACACAATATCTTACACTATTACACAATATCTTACACTATTACACAATATCTTACACTATTACACAATATCTTACACTATTACACAATATCTTACACTATTACACAATATCTTACACTATTACACAATATCTTACACTATTACACAATATCTTACACTATTACACAATGTATAAAACAATATCACATACAATATAACAATACCATACAGAGTACATACATAATACCATACACAGTAACTAATAATATTAAACATCACCAAACAGTATCTAACAATATCACACAGTATCTATAAATATCAAACAGTATCAAACTATATCACACAATATCTAACAATACCATACAATAATTTCATACAATATTTCACAGTCTCACAAAATATCACACAATATTGCACAGTATCACTCAACTACACAATATCACACAATATCTATAAACATCATACAGTGTCACACAACATCACACCGTATCACACATTATCACACAATATTACACAGTATCACTCTACACAATATTACACAGTATCACTAAACTACACAATATCACACAATATCTAAAAACATCACAGTGTCATACAATATATAAGAACCTGACGTGGCCACTGCTGCAGAACTCGAGATTGTTCATCTTTAAAGAGGTGACAACTCCTATCCAGATTGTTCATGTTTAAAGAGGTGTTAACTCCTATCGAGATTGTTCATGTTTAAAGAGGTGTTAACTCCTATCGAGATTGTTCATGTTTAAAGAGGTGTTAACTCCTATCGAGATTGCTCATGTTTAAAGAGGTGTTAACTCCTATCGAAATTGTTCATGTTTAAAGAGGTGTTGACTCCTATCGAGATTGTTCATGTTTAAAGAGGTGTTAACTCCTATCGAGATTGTTCATGTTTAAAGAGGTGTTGACTCCTATCGAGATTGTTCATGTTTAAAGAGCTGTTAACTCCTATCGAGATTGTTCATGTTTAAAGAGGTGACAACTCCTATCGAGATTGTTCATGTTTAAAGAGGTGTTAACTCCTATCGAGATTGTTCATGTTTAAAGAGGTATTAACTCCTATCGAGATTGTTCATCTTTAAAGAGGTGTTAACTCCTATCAAGATTGTTCATGTTTAAAGAGGTGTTAACTCCTATCGAGATTGTTCATATTTAAAGAGGTGTTAACTCCTATCGAGATTGTTCATGTTTAAAGAAGTGACAACTCCTATCGAGATTGTTCATCTTTAAAGAGGTGGTAACTCATATCGAGATTGTTCATCTTTAAAGAGGTGGTAACTCATGAAACTGACTTCAGTCAATGATTTTTGGAGCTGCAGAAGTTATTGATTAGCCCAACACAATGTTGTGACATAATTATTGTGACGTCTCTGTTTTGACAATATTTAAGTTACGACAAGATTCAAGCTGTGGCCATTAATCTTGTCCTTTTAACCTTTAACACCCCACAGTCGAGTATACTGGACTTCCCCTGCTTATCCCGTAGCACCCCACAGTCGAGTATAGTCGACAACCTTATATGGTCGGGAAAATACCCAACTAAACGGAGCTATGCGTTTGACGTCACTTGAAAACTATAAATAACTATTCTACAGTGGTTTAACTTCCTGTAATGGCCGCGAATGGGCTTGTTGGCTCAATTTTTATAAGCCAGTTCGATATCCATCACCATCCTTCGAAATGGAATTTAATTTTTCTGAAATCTTCATGGATTCTGACTCTGACGATTAGATTTTGTGTTTTCATGCAGCCGATATCAGTCGCGAAGTTGATATGTCTGGAGAAGTAAGTGAAGGTAGTTCTGTTTACAGTGTGTCAGATTCTTAGATATACGGAATACGTGGAGATGCATTACTAATTGGTGAGTCTTTATGTTTGTACTGTTTTTTTTTTACATTTTTCCCATTTCACTCTGTCCTCACACATCACCTACCAAACATACACCAACAAAACTCATATCGATGTATGCAGAAATCATTTGTTTATTTCAGTTTAAATAATTATGCAAAATTATTCATAAACCAAAAAGTTATAGTGTTTTTCATGTTTCCTCCATAAAAAACGCAAAATCTGAAAAAAATAAGGTGGGAGGCAAGGGAAATAATTTGAATTTTTATTGTGGGGTGCTAAAGGTTAAGGATACAATTTTTCGTTTTTTGAAGCCCTACTCTGGCTCATACCAGGGGTCGCAATATAGCATAATGGCTAAATGCGGTTTCTGGGACCTCTCCACGGTGTTCCTCACCCTCATGGTGGTACATTGTGTCGTCGGGTGTTTATCGCTTGTGTGATGTCCTGGTGGGGTAGAAAGTCAGTCAGTCAAGCTGTGGACACAGCGTCCAGTGAGAATGATCTGTAGACTAACTAACTAACGTTGATTTGTTCCAGAGCTGTCCGTGCTAACACTGACCATTATCACGTTGGATCGATTGGTGTGCATCCTTTTCCCGCTCAGACTGACGAGGCTGAGTGTCAGGGACGCCACGGTTGCCATGGTTGTCGTTTGGTTGCTGGTTCTGTTAATTTCCGTAGTTCCGCTGCTGGGAATCCCCTATTTTCTGGTAAGTCCATCATTAATGTGCCATCTCCGCAGTTAAAGTTGGCTCGGGGAGATCAGCATTCTCTCTCACTGGCCCCGTATAGATTTTGTTTGTCTCTGACCCTGGAGTGACTCTCTCTCTCTCTCTCTCTCTCTCTCTCTCTGTACCTGTATAGATTTAGTTTGTCCATGACCCCGTATAGATTTTGTTTGTCTCTGACCCTGGAGAGACTCTCTGTCACTGACCCTGGAGTGACTCTCTCTGTCTCTGACCCTGGAGTGACTCTCTCTGTCACTGACCCTGAAGTGACTCTCTCTAGCTCTGGTCCTGGAGTGACTATCTCTGTCTCTGACCCTTGAGTGACTCTCTCTCTGTCTCTGTACCTGTATAGATTTAGTTTGTCCATGGCCCTGGAGTGACTCTCTCTCTCTCTCTTTACCTGTATAGATTTAGTTTGTCCATGGCCCTGGAGTGACTCTCTCTCTCTCTGTACCTGTATAGATTTAGTTTGTCCATGTCCCTGGAGTGACTCTCTCTCTCTCTCTGTACCTGTATAGATTTAGTTTGTCCATGGCCCTGGAGTGACTCTCTCTCTCTCTGTACCTGTATAGATTTAGTTTGTCCATGGCCCTGGAGTGACTCTCTCTCTCTGTACCTGTATAGATTTAGTTTGTCCATGGCCCTGGAGTGACTCTCTCTCTCTCTCTCTGTACCTGTATAGATTTAGTTTGTCCATGGCCCTGGAGTGACTCTCTCTCTCTCTCTCTGTACCTGTATAGATTTAGTTTGTCCATGGTCCCGTATAGATTTTGTTTGTCTCTGACCCTGGAGAGACTCTCTCTGTCACTGACCCTGGAGTGACTTTCTCTGTCTCTGACCCTGGAGTGACTCTCTCTGTCACTGACCCTGGAGTGACTCTCTCTGTCTCTGACCCTGGAGTGACTCTCTCTAGCTCTGGTCCTGGAGTGACTATCTCTGTCTCTGACCCTGTATTGACTCTCTCTCTCTCTGTCTCTGACCCTGGAGTGACTCTCTCTGTCTCTGACCCTGGAGTGACTCTCTCTGTCACTGACCCTGGAGTGACTCTCTCTGTCACTGACCCTGGAGTGACTCTCTCTGTCACTGGCCCTGGAGTGACTCTGTCACTGGCCCTGGATAGACACTCTCTCTCTCTGTCCCTGTATAGATTCTCTTTGTTTCCGGCCCTGGATAGACTCTCTCTCTCTCTCTCTCTCTCTCTCTCTCTCTCTCTCTCTCTCTGTCTGTCTTTGAATACACATTCTCTGTTTCTCGCCAGTGATAGATTCTCGCTGGCCCTAGAAAAATAGTGTCTGTCTCTGACCCTGGATTTACACCCTCTGTATTTGGCACTGGATAGAAACTATCTTCTCTAGTTCTAGATAGACACTCTCTTTCTGTGTCTCTGTCTCTGGATAGACACTCTCTCTGTCTCTGGATCTGGATAGACACTCTCTCTGTCTCTGGATAAACTCTATCTGTCTCTGGCACTGGATACTCTATCTTTCTGTCTCTGGCCCTAGGTAGACTCTGTCACTGGCAATGTCCATCGCTGCCATAATCTTAAGTGCATTTAGTACTTTTTCGACTCTTTGTTGCATCAGCTTCCACATGGTCCTTGAAGGAGATGCTTCTCTCGCAAGTGATACCGAGGTACTTAAGTTTGCTGTTTCTTTTGATGTTTCTGTTTTTGACTCTGTTGCTTGGGACATGAGATCTGACAATCTTTTTGTTAAGAGAACACCATAAAACAGCCGCCTGTTCTGGATGATTGACGGTAGCCATCTCTGTACATCAGTCAGTCACCTTGTCCACTGTTACCTGTAGCTCTTGAACTGTCTATCGCTCCTCAGTCTGTATGCAAGAATATCATCCTCCCACCACATAGAGCTTCAAAGTCTGCAGTCCTGCTTGAATAAACATTGAAGAGCACTGATGAAACTGCAGAAGCTTGTAGTAGTCCTGGAGCGACATTACGTGGCTCTGAGGTCCATGTACTCAGACAAGACGAGCTACACTACATGAACAAAGGGCAGCTGTTAATTAGTTCACCAACCATGGACAGAGGCCCTTTTCCATAAATACCATAGTTGACTCTATCATAGCTATCCTCACTGTAGGGCGGAGAAGTGTCCATGCCAAGGAAGCAGATATTTGACAGACTAGGAGCAACTGCTGGTAAGCTAGTCAAGGTGACAGATAAGTCGAAAATATAGCTAGGTAGCTGAAGACAATCTGCAGACAGATAAGTGGAAAATATAGCTAGGTAGCTAAAGACAATCTGCAGACAGATAAGTGGAAAATATAGCTAGGTAGCTGAAGACAATCTGCAGACAGATAAGTGGAAAATATAGCTAGGTAGCTAAAGACAATCTGCAGACAGATAAGTGGAAAATATAGCTAGGTAGCTGAAGACAATCTGCAGACAGATTAGTGGATAATATAGCTAGGTGGCTAAAGACAATCTGCAGACAGATAAGTGGAAAATATAGCTAGGTAGCTGAAGACAATCTGCAGACAGATAAGTGGAAAATATAGCTAGGTAGCTGAAGACAATCTACAGACAGATAAGTGGAAAATATAGCTAGGTAGCTGAAGACAATCTACAGACAGATAAGTGGAAAATATAGCTAGGTAGCTGAAGACAATCTACAGACAGATAAGTGGAAAATATAGCTAGGTAGCTGAAGACAATCTACAGACAGATAAGTGGAAAATATAGCTAGGTAGCTGAAGACAATCTGCAGACAGATAAACGGAAAATATAGCTAGGTAGCTAAAGACAATCTGCAGACAGAATGGGCAGTTTTGTTTGCAGAACATCTGTGGTAGAATACGAACTGATGAACTCTTGGAAATCTTGAGTTGAAGAGAAACGTGATCTCCCACGTCCGTTGGCCTGGCACTTGATAGTATGTGAGAGTGTGTGTGTGTGTGATGTGTGTGGGTGTGTGGGTGCGTGCGTGCGTGCGTGCGTGCGTGTGTGTGTGTGTGTGTGTGCGTGCGTGCGTGCGTGCGCGTGTGCGCGTGTGCGCGTGTGTGCGCGTGCGCGCGTGTGCGTGTGCGCGTGTGCGCGTGTGCGTGTGTGTGTGTGTGTCTGTGTCTGTGTGTGTGTGTGTGTGTGTGTGTGTGTGTGTGTGTGTGTGCGTGCGTGCGTGCGTGCGTGCGTGCGTGCGTGCGTGCGTGCGTGCGTGCGTGCGTGCGTGTGTGTGTGTGTGTGTGTGTGTGTGTGTGTGTGTGTGTGTGTGTGTGTGTGTCTTGTGCTTGTCTGCATGTCAGCTTCTATGGCTTAAGCGTTCCGGACGCGATTCGTATTACCTGTGCGATCCCAACTAGGGACGATTTCTGCAATGGCAAACTACTGAATGTAAGATTTGGCTAGAAAAATTAAAACAGCTACAAAATGCTGGGGTTGGTTCTACAACCTTCAACAAAGGGGACACAACTAACATTTCTAGAATATTTGTCTCCATGTTCCATCTCTACAACGCTTGTTCTGTCTATTTTTCAGTCGTTGTGTTTTATGTCTGTATTTCATCCTTCATATTTCGTGAATTTAACCTTTTCTTGTATATTTTAGCCATTATGTTTCGTGAATTAAACAACATTTTCCTCGATATTTCAGTCATCTTTTGTGCATATAGCAAATCTTTCAGCTCGCCCTTCCCCCATTTTCCCACCCATTGACTCCATTGTTTCTTCTGTGTAGAACTTCTACGGCAGATCTGGGGTGTGCCTGGCCCTCCACGTGACCCCGGCCCGACCCGCAGGCTGGGAGTTTTCTGTGGCTGTGTTCCTGGTGTTGAACTTGGTCTCGTTTCTGGTCATCGCTGCCTCATATATCTGGATGTTTATTGTTGCCAAGGAAACCAGATCTGCAGGTAAGAGATGAGTATGTGCCTTATACTGCAACACCTGCATCAACAATCAAAACAACATTGACAATCATAACAACTATAACAACCATAACAACAATAACAATCATAACAACTATAGCAATCATAACAACAATACCAATCATAACAACAATAACAATCATAACAACAATAACAATCATAACAACAATAACAACCATAACAACAATAACAACCATAACAACAATAACAATCATAACAACAATAAAAATCATAACAACAATAACAACCATAACAACAATAACAACCATGACAACAATAACAATCATGACAACAATAAAAATCATAACAACAATAACAACCATAACAACAATAACAACCATAACAACAATAACAACCATAACAACAATAACAATCATAACAACAATAACAACCATAACAACAATAACAATTATAACAACAATAACAACAATAACAACCATAACAACAATAACAACCATAACAACAATAACAACCATAACAACAATAACAATCATAACAACAATAACAACCATAACAACAATAACAATCATAACAACAATAACAATCATAACAACAATAACAATCATAACAACAATAACAATCATAACAACAATAACAATCATAACAACAATAACAATCATACAACAATAACAACCATAACAACAATACCAATCATACAACAATAACAACCATAACAACAAAAACAACCATAACAACCATTACAACAATAACAACCATAACAACAATAAAACACAATAACAACCATAACAACAATAACAACAATAACAACAATAACAACCATAACATAACAACAATAACAACCATAACAACAATAACCATTCCAACAATAACAACAACAACAAAACAACCATAAACAATAACAATCATAACAACAATAACAATCATAACAATAACAACCATACACAACAACATAACAACAATACCAATCATACACCAATAACAACCATAACAACAAAAACAACCATAACAACCATTACAACAATAACAACCATAACAACAATAACAACCATAACAACAATAACAACAATAACAACCATGACCACCATAACAACAATAACAATCATGCAACAATAACAATCATAACAACAATACCAATCATACAACAATAACAACCATAACAACAATAACAACAATAACAACAATAACAACCATAACAACAATAACAACCATAACAACAATAACAACCATGACCACCATAACAACAATAACAATCATGCAACAATAACAATCATAACAACAATAACAACCATAACAACAATGACAACCATAAAAAAACATAACAACAATCAATCATAACACAATACAATCAATCATATCACACAATAACAATCATAACAACAATACAATCATACAACAGTCATAACAAAAAACAATCATAACAATCATAACAATACAACAACAACCATAACAAATAACAACCATAACAACTATAACAATCATAACAACAATAACAATCATAACAACAATAACAACAATAGCAATCATAAACAACAATAACAATCATAACAACAATAACAACTATAACAACAATTTAAACTCATAGAAAAGACAGTGTAAGGTTGTGTACGCTTTCTTGAAATTCAACAAGAATTGCAAAATTTACATTAATAATAATAATAAGCATCATATTTTTTAATGGTTTTTGTGTGTGTGTGTGTGTGGCCAAAATAACAGCTCATGTCACTTGGTGTGGTTTGCAGTTCGAGGCCCAGAGAATAAAAGTGACCTTGCTATGGCACGAAGGATGACCTTGATTGTGATGACTGACTTTGTTTGCTGGGTGCCAATCATATTCCTGGGATTTGCATCACTGGGTGGTGCTAATGCTTCTAATTATGTAAGTAGACAACAGACATGCAACTAGACAGACAACAGACATGCAACTAGACAGACAACAGACATGCAACTAGACAGACAACAGACATGCAACTAGACAGACCACAGACATGCAACTAGACAGACAACAGACATGCAACTAGACAGACAACAGACATGCAACTAAACAGACAACAGACATGCAACTAGACAGAAAACAGACATGCAACTAGACAGACAACAGACAGCAGTGATCAGTAAATCTCATCATAATGTGGCCGTGGAAAACACGGACTTAAAAAATGTTAAAGTGCAATAAGGGAAAAAATAAGGGTTCAGTGAACTTCACGTGGCGTTTGTAATCGAGCAAGGTTAACTGGAATACTGTTCCGATCATCAATTATTAGAGGACAGAGCCCAAGCCACAGCCAACAAAGGTCACCCAACTAGATCTGCCGCTTTTTCAGGGGTTAAGAACCTCAGAGACCATTTCGAATGAAATGTGCACGAAGACGGGAAAGTCACAGATTAATGAATCTTGGTAAACCTAGTTTAACAAAGGAGAAAAACAGAACATAATTATCTCCATGGTATATAAGAGTTAGACAGTGAATGTCTGAGGACACACGCTTTAGGACACCAGCACCATGCAGGTGGAGGAGGATTGAGATGCGCACTGTTGATGCTTCAGTATAATACTGAGGGCAGATGTGGAGGGGTGTACTTGCTCTGACACTATGTGCAGGACATCTTAGGGATGAAAAAAGCCATGATGCTAAAGAACTGTGTTCTATAGTTCCCTCATAGACATCCTGTCAGAGAATTGACGAAGCCTTTCTGAATATCTTGTGACTATGGCAATGTTGTCAGGTTGGGTTGGTTGGCTGTTCGGAAAGTGGTAATTAGATAGTGGTTGGTACTTTGTGGACAAGGACTGGCTAGTAGCTAGGCGAGTCGGCTCTGTGGCTAAGTCGATGCGAACGCTTCGTAATGCCGGGGTGCCGGGTTTGATCCCAGCTGCGGGCTATGCGCCTTGCGTTGGTTTCGACAGTGGTATTAGGGAGCCGACCGTCCAGGAAGCAATGGCAAACTACTGGACGTAAATTTGCCTAGAAAAACCACACAATGCCAGGGGCAGTTGCGGTTGCTTCTGCAACGTCCTGTTAAGGATACGCAACTAACCTAGTAGCTAGACAGGAAGTTCTAAGAATGACTCGCTAGTATGGAGCTGAGTACAAGGATTCTGCTACTGGTGGTCAGTGCTAGTTCTTACTAACTACTACACGCAAGATAGGATCGATCCGTTGTAACGAATGGTAGGCTGTTGTAATCTCAGAGTCTGACAGTATATTTAGGGGCAGACTGTGGGGGTAGCCGAGTTGTATGCTTGCTTCTGTGGAGTATTCGGACAGTTTGGTTAAGCCGTGTGTTGATGTGCTTTTCATAAAGTTGTGTGTAATGTTTTTAATAAACAAATCTGTCAGTTGTTAATCTTCTATTCCATGATTAGTTTGTTGAGTAGAGGTGTTGTACCACTGGTTGCTGTTGAGTAGAGGTGTTGTATCACTGGTTGCTGTTGAGTAGAGGTGTTGTACCACTGCTTGCTGTTGAGTAGATGTGTTTTATCACTGGTTGCTGTAGTTATTATACTACTATACCTTTACTGTTACTACTGTACTTAATTGTATACCTCCACTGAATATGACCTGACTGTCTGGGCTGTAGAACTATTAATGCACTCACCATTTATCTTCCATATGGGCTTGAGTAGTATCTTTGACTTTCTTATTGTCCAGAGTATTAAGAGACATTGACCTTCATCTAATCCAGAGTAGTAACTTTGACTTCCATATCATTTAGAGTAGTAACTTTGACTTCCATATAGTCATGAGGGGTAACTTTGACTTCCATATAGTCATGAGGAGTAACTTTGACTTCCATATAGTCATGAGGGGTAACTTTGACTTCCATATAGTCATGAGGAGTAACTTTGACTTCCATATAGTCATGAGGGGTAACTTTGACTTCCATATAGTCATGAGGAGTAACTTTGACTTCCATATAGTCATGAGGAGTAACTTTGACTTCCATATAGTCATGAGGAGTAACCCTGACTTCCATATAGTCATGAGTAGTAACCCTGACTTCCATATAGTCATGAGTAGTAACCCTGACTTCCATATAGTCATGAGTAGTAACCCTGACTTCCATATAGTCATGAGTAGTAACCCTGACTTCCATATAGTCATGAGGAGTAACTTTGACTTCCATATAGTCATGAGTAGTAACCCTGACTTCCATATAGTCATGAGTAGTAACCCTGACTTCCATATAGTCATGAGTAGTAACCTTGACTTCCATATAGTCATGAGTAGTAACCCTGACTTCCATATAGTCATTAGGAGTAACCCTGACTTCCATATAGTCATGAGGAGTAACCCTGACTTCCATATAGTCATGAGTAGTAACTTTGACTTCCATATAGTCATGAGTAGTAACCTTGACTTCCATATAGTCATGAGTAGTAACCCTCACTTCCATATAGTCATGAGTAGTAACCTTGACTTCCATATAGTCATGAGTAGTAACTTTGACTTCCATATAGTCATGAGTAGTAACTTTGACTTCCATATAGTCATGAGTAGTAACCCTGACTTCCATATAGTCATGAGTAGTAACCTTGACTTCCATATAGACATGAGTAGTAACTTTGACTTCCATATAGTCATGAGTAGTAACCCTGACTTCCATATAGTCATGAGTAGTAACCTTGACTTCCATATAGTCATGAGTAGTAACCCTGACTACCATATAGTCATGAGTAGTAACCTTGACTTCCATATAGTCATGAGTAGTAACCTTGACTTCCATATAGTCATGAGTAGTAATCCTGACTTCCATATAGTCATGAGTAGTAACCCTGACTTCCATATAGTCATGAGTAGTAACCCTGACTTCCATATAGTCATGAGTAGTAACCCTGACTTCCATATAGTCATGAGTAGTAACCTTGACTTCCATATAGTCATGAGTAGTAACCCTGACTTCCATATAGTCATGAGTAGTAACCCTGACTTCCATATAGTCATGAGTAGTAACCCTGACTTCCATATAGTCATGAGTAGTAACCCTGACTTCCATGTAGTCATGAGAAGTAACCCTGACTTCCATATAGTCATGAGTAGTAACCCTGACTTCCATATAGTCATGAGTAGTAACCCTGACTTCCATGTAGTCATGAGAAGTAACCCTGACTTCCATATAGTCATGAGAAGTAACCCTGACTTCCAAATAGTCATTAGGAGTAGCTTTGACTTCCATATAGTCATGAGAAGTAACCCCGACTTCCATATAGTCATGAGAAGTAACCCTGACTTCCATATAGTCATTAGGAGTAGCTTTGACTTCCATATAGTCATGAGGAGTAACCCTGACTTCCATATAGTCATTAGGAGTAGCTTTGACTTCCATATAGTCATGAGGAGTAACCCTGGCTTCCATATAGTCATTAGGAGTAGCTTTGACTTCCATATAGTCATGAGGAGTAACCCTGACTTCCATATAGTCATTAGGAGTAGCTTTGACTTCCATATAGTCATGAGGAGTAACCCTGACTTCCATATAGTCATGAGGAGTAACCCTGACTTCCATATAGTCATGAGTAGTAACTTTGACTTCCATATAGTCATGAGGAGTAACTTTGACTTCCATATAGTCCAGTTACCGTGACCTCCATATCGTCCATATTAGTAACCGTAACCTCCATGTCATCCACAGCAGTAACCTTGACCTCCATATCGTCCAGAATAATGACCTTGACTTGTATATTGTGAGGGTAAACATCTGGACTTCCGTAGAAAAAAAACACATTAAAAATTAAGCAAATCAGACCTTTGCACCATCTGGATCTGATGTTTATTCTGTTGATTACGTCCCTTAGGTGTATGCGGGGTTGATTCTGTTGTTGATGACATCTGTCAGGTGTATGCATGGATCGCTGTGTTGATTCTGTTGTTGATGACATCTGTCATGTGTATGCATGGATCACTGTATTTATTCTGTTGTTGATGACTTCTGTCAGGTGTATGCATGGATCACTGTGTTTATTCTGTTGTTGATGACATCTGTCAGGTGTATGCATGGATCGCTGTGTTTATTCTGTTGTTGATGACATCTGTCAGGTGTATGCATGGATCGCTGTGTTGATTCTGTTGTTGATGACTTCTACCAGGTGTATGCATGGATCGCTGTGTTTATTCTGCCCCTCAATTCGGCTGTCAACCCGCTCCTCTACACATTGTCCACGACTCCATTTTTGATGAACATTCGCAAGAGAGCCTACCGTTTCCGCAAATCGTTTATGACCTCAGCGACACAGGAAACAAAAAACAGTTTTGTGGGTAAGTCCAGGCCTACTTGTTCATTCTTCTCTCCTTTTTCTAAATACAGTTGCCTACATTGTAGCTGTATTGTGTTGAGCAACCCTGTGCTTTTGCTCTATGTCCAGTCATAGTGACCACGACTTGTGAACCGTGTCAGACAGCAGTGGCAAATCAGAAACTGTAAAAAAAAGGGATAACGCCCAAAAGAATTTCATAGAATGATGTTGACTATGAAATATTAACAACATCATGATGTCCAAGAGATGTTCACAAAAAATTATGTTCGTGAGATGTTCACAACATAATGATGTCTAAGAGATGTTTACAAAATATGTTGTTCATGAGACATTTACAACATAATGATGTCCATAAAATGTTCACATACTAAAGATGTCCATGAGATGTTCACATAATAAAGATGTTCATAAGATGTTCACCAAATAAACATTGGGTATTGTAACTGGGTATTGTATCTGTCCATGAGAGGATCACAGAATGTAGATGTCCATGAGAGGATCACAGAATGTATCTGTCCATGAGAGGATCACAGAATGTAGATGTCCATGAGAGGATCACAGAATGTAGATGTCCATGAGAGGATCACAGAATGTAGATGTCCATGAGATGTTCACAGAATGTAGATGTCCATGAGAGGATCACAGAATGTAGATGTCCATGAGAGGATCACAGAATGTAGATGTCCATGAGAGGATCACAGAATGTAGATGTCCATGAGAGGATCACAGAATGTAGATGTCCATGAGAGGATCACAGAATGTAGATGTCCATGAGAGGATCACAGAATGTAGATGTCCATGAGAGGATCACAGAATGTAGATGTCCATGAGAGGATCACAGAATGTAGATGTCCATGAGAGGATCACAGAATGTAGATGTCCATGAGATGTTCACAGAATGTAGATGTCCATGAGAGGATCACAGAATGTAGATGTCCATGAGATGTTCACAAAGTAGATCTGATGCGACTGCTCCTACAAATTACCCCCCCCCCCCCCAACTGATGATACTACCATAATCTCTCTCTTGCTCAGATACAATACTATTCTAATCTCTCTCTTGCTCACATACAATACTACTCTAATCTCTCTCTTGCTCACATACAATACTACTCTAATCTCTCTCTTGCTCACATACAATACTACTCTAATCTCTCTCTTGCTCACATACAATACTACTCTTATCTCTACCTTGCTCACATACAATACTACTCTAATCTCTCTCTTGCTCACATACAATACTACTCTTATCTCTACCTTGCTCACATACAATACTACTCTAATCTCTCTCTTGCTCACATACAATACTACTCTAATCTCTCTCACACACAAATGATACTACTCTGACTCCCCCCCCCCCCCCCCCCAGATGATGATACTAATTTCATCGCTTCCCACAAACAAATGCTGCTACTATAATATATCTTTCCCTCACAGAGGATATAACTCTAATCCACCCCCCCTCCCTTACCCCAAACAACACACATGATACTAAACTACCCCCCCCCCCCCCCCCCACAGATGATACTAATATAATCTCTTTCTCCCTCACAGATGATACTACTCTCATTTCTCCATCATAGATTATGCTATTCTAATTTCTTTTCTTGCTGATGATACTATTCTAATATCTCCACCCCCCACCCCAGATGAAATTATTCTAATCCTCCCCCCTCCTCAGATGAAACTATTCTAATCGCCCCCCTCCACAGTAGAAACTATTCTAATCTCCCCCCTCCCCAGATGATACTATTCTAATCTCCCCCCTCTCCAGATGAAACTATTCTAATCTCTCCCCTCCCCAGATGATACTATTCTAATCTCTCCCCCATTCAAATGATGCCGTGTGGTTGTGGGCGTATGTGGGTGTCTGTATATGTGACTGTATGTGTGTGTATGCAGCATGCATGTGTAGGTCTGTATGCTTTGAATGTGTGTGTGCATGTATGTCTATGTATGTATGTGTGTGTGTTTTGTGTTTGTGCATGTATTTCTATGTATGTATGTATGTATGTATGTATGTATGTATGTATGTATGTATGTATGTATGTATGTATGTATGTATGTATGTATGTATGTATGTATGTATGTATGTATGTATGTATGTATGTATGTATGCATGCATGCATGCATGCATGCATGCATGCATGCATGCATGCATGTATGTATGTATGTATGTATGTATGTATGTATGTATGTATGTATGTATGTATGTATGTATGTATGTATGTATGTATGTATGTATGTATGTATGTATGTATGTATGTATGTATGTATGTATGTATGTATGTATGTATGTATGTATGTATGTATGTATGTATGTATGTATGTATGTATGTATGTATGTATGTATGTGTGTGTGTGTGTGTGTGTGTGTGTTTTATGGTTGTGTATGTATGTAGATGCATGTATGTATATATGACTGTGCATGTATGAGAGTGTAAGAGTATGTGTGTGTGTGTGTGTGTTTGTGTGTGTAAGATTGTGTACACATGATGTGTGTATGCATTATTCCATAATGTATATTTCTTTATTACATCTATAACATGCATTATCGATGTCAGGCGTTGGTACTCTGAACAATGAGTGCTCAGAAGGGCCGAATGTCAGACCCTTTAGAAATAAAGTTTGTTGTTTGTTCGTTCGTTCCCTGACAGACTATATAATTCTATTCTCTCCTTTCCAAACAGATGACAGTACTCTAATCTCCCTCATCCTCAGGATGACACCACTCATCTCCCTACCTGGACCAAACTCTTTTCTTACTCATTCTCACTAATATCACTCTTTGAAAAAACTCTAATCTTCTCCATTGAACCAATATCTAATATCCGTTACTTGCATAGAAGGTACGATTCCAATCTCCCTCATCCTTACAGATGAATCTATTCCAATCTCCCTCATCCTTACAGATGAATCTATTCCAATCTCCCTCATCCTTACAGATGAATCTTTTCCAATCTCCCTCATCCTTACAGATGAATCTATTCCAATCTCCCTCATCCTTACAGATGGATCTATTCCAATCTCCCTCATCCTTACAGAGGAATCTATTCCAATCTCCCTCATCCTTACAGATGAATCTATTCCAATCTCCCAGTTAAAACAAACTCTAATCCTACCTGATGTCCACAGATGACCGCACTGTCAACTCCTACACGGAACGGAGGCCCTTCTACAGACAAGGAGATGCTCTCAAAATGAAAACAATCAGGTCATCAGTTCAAGGACAATCAAGTGCAGGCTCCAGTGACATTTGACCTTTGATCTGTTGCACCTGCTCACCACATACATGTTGTATGGGACATCTACAGCTGTGCCAGTTGTACCCTTGCACTCACATAATAAATATGGATGCATGCTGTGTGTATCAGAGCCCGCATTTAAAACCTGTTGATGTATGTTGAATGTGCATTTGGTGTATTTACCATGTATGGTAGTGGATTGTATGATCAGTATGTATTGATTTAAATTGTACATTAGAAACCACATGTGCTCATAGCATATAATTTGTCAGCCAAGAGCTCTAACCCAGGCAGGACACTTGTCAGCCAAGAGCTCTAACCCAGGCAGGACACTTGTCAGCCAAGAGCTCTAACCCAGGCAGGACACTTGTCAGCCAAGAGCTCTAACCCAGGCAGGACACTTGTCAGCCAAGAGCTCTAACCCAGGCAGGACATTTTTTAGCCAAGAGACCTAACCCAGGTAGGACATTTGTAGGCTAAGAGCCCTAATCTAGGCAAAACATTTATCAGCAAAGAGCTCTAGCCCAGGTAGGACATTGTCAGCTAAGAGCCCCAACCCAGGCAGGACATTTGTCAGCAAAGAGCTCTAACCCATATAGGACATTGTCAGCTAAGAGCCCCAAACCAGGCAGGACATTTGTTAGCCAAGAGCCCTAACCCAGGCAGGACATTTGTTAGCTTAGCCCTAACCCAGGCAGGACATTTGTTACCTAAGAGCCCTAACTCAGACAGGACGTTTTTTAGCCAAGAGCCCTAATCTAGGCAGGACATTTCTTAGCCAAGAGCCCTAACTCAGACAAGACAGCAAGCTTCCCTCTGTAACGTCTGCTTGCCCCAATAAAACTGTTGTTTTCTGTTGCTAGGTTTTCTGGGGTTTGTTCCTGTAGGTTTGGGAACTTACTGTTGCTAGAGTTTCTGGGTTTTGCTCCTGTTGGTTTGGGAACTTACTGTTGCTAGAGTTTCTGGGTTTTGCTCCTGTAGGTTTGGGAACTTACTGTTGCTAGAGTTTCTGGGTTTTGCTCCTGTAGTTTTGGAAACTTACTGTTGCTAGAGTTTCTGGGTTTTGCTCCTGTAGGTTTGGGAACTTACTGTTGCTAGGGTTTCTGGGTTTTGCTCCTGTAGGTTTGGAAACTTAGTGTTGGTAGGGTTTCTGAGTTTTTCTCCTGTGGGATTTGTAACAAAACAGTGGCTCTTTGAGTCACTAGGTGTCCATTTTTCAGACTAAAGCCGTGGGCAGTGCACTTCATAATTGTATGTTGTATTTTTATCTGACGCAGCACACCTTGTGTGTTAGTTGTATGTGTATGCAGAACTGCATAGTGTCTCTAGTTATATAACGGATATAACTTATACTTTCTACGGTTGTATGTGTCCTTTACATAATATATTGTCTATACTTGTATTTTGTCTAAAACAATATCAATTGCCTATTGTTGTGTGTTGAATGTGTATTTTTGACGCAACATATATTGTCTCTTGAATATTGTATTGTCTATATAGTTTTTGTATAATAGTTTTTGTATAATTGAGTCAACATATGCTGTCTACAGTTGTATGTTGTATATGTATCTGACACAGCAAATACATTCTACAGTTGTATGTTGTATATGTATCTCACACAGCAAATGCATTCTACAGTTGTATGTTGTATATGTATCTGACACAACAAATACATTCTACAGTTGTATGTTGGTTTAATTTATTAAGATACTAGAATTCTACTGA